TCTACTATTATAACTGAACCTACCACCACAGCAACCACAAGCACTGTAACAACAGAACCCACAGTAATAGAAGAAGCCACTACTCCTACAACTGAATCTACATCGGTATCACTCACTACTAAAGCTGAATCTATAACTAATGAAGCAACCATCATGTCCACAATGGAATCTACTACTACAGCTACCTCTACAACTACAACTGAAACCAGTACCACAGTAGCATCGACCACTACAGGTGAACCTACCACCACAGCAACCACAAGCACTGTAACAACAGAATCCACAGTTACAACAGAAGCCTCCAGTCCTACAAATGAACCCACGACAACTATACCAGTGACTACTACAGCTGAGTCTACAAATATTGAAACAACCAGTACATCGACTGGTGACTCTATAGCACCCACCACAGCAGCATCTACCACTACAACTGAACCTGCCACCACAGCAACCACTAGTACTGTAACAACTGAACCTACAATGACTGAGGAATCTACCACTATTACAACCAATGCCACAACAACTGTAACCACCACTGCAATGGCTGAATCAACAAATAGTGAACCCATTACATTAACCACGGAATCAACTACTACTTCAGCCCCCACAACTACATCAGTACAATCTATTACAGCTGAACCTACCACCACAGTAACCACAAGCACTGTAACAACAGAATCCACAGCTACAGCAGAAGCCACTACTCCTACAACTGAATCTACAACTATACCACTCACTTCTATAGCTGAATCTACAACTAGTGAAACAACTATCACCTCAACTACTGAATCTACTTCTACATCAGCCTCCATGCCTACAACTGAAGCCACTACCACAGAAATGACCTCTACTACTACTGCAAGTGAACCCTCAACAACGCAACCACACGCAATGTAACAACAGAACCCACAACCACTGCAGAAGCCACCACTCTTATAAGTGGACTTACAACAACTATACCACTGACTACTACAGCTGAATCTACAACTAGTGAAACAAGCATCATGTCCACAAAAGAATCTACTACTACTACTGCCTCCACAACTACAACTGAAACCAGTACCACAGCAGCATCCACCACTACGGGTTGACCTACCACCACAAGCACTGTAACAACTAAACCCATAACCACAGCAGAAACCACCACTCTTACAAATGAACCCATGACAGCTATACCACTGATTACTACAGCTGAGTCTACAAATAGTGAAACAACCAGTACATTGACTGCTGAATGTACAGCATCCACCACAGCAGCATCAACCACTACAACTGAACCTGCCACCACAGCAACCACTAGCACTGTAACAACCAAACCTACAACGACTGAGGAATCTACCAGTACTACAACTGAACCCACAACAACTCTACTACTCACTACAACATCCGAATCATCAACTAGTGAAACAACAATGACACTGACCACTGAATCTTCTACCTCTGTAACTAACCTTCACAACTATAACAGAAGCTAGTAGTACAACAGCACCTACCACTACTGCAATTCAACTTGCCACCACAGCAAAGCCTACCACTGTAGTAGCACCCACAGCTTCCACTGAGCATATTGCTACAAGACCCATCACTACTACAAATGGTACTACTACAACATCAGCTCCTGCTTCTGCAATTGGACCCACAACTACTTCAAAAGTATCCACGACTACATCTGAATCTACTACCACAGCAGTCCCTACTTCAACAACTGAACCCCCAACTACTTCAGAACCATTGGCCACTACAACTGTAATTGAATCCACTACCACTGCCAGTGAATCTACACACACAGAATCCTCGTCTTCTACAATTGAAACTACAAATGGAACCATACCCCCCACTTCTTCAGCTGAAACTACTACCACATCAGTGCCCAGTGCAACTACAACTGAAGCTGTAACCACTGGAACCAATACTACTGCAAGCTAACCTGTAGTCACAACCTCTAACTAATCTACTATTAATATAATTCTTTCAAATGAATCCACAACCACTATAACCATTATTGTATAAGTTGACCATATAACTGCCACAATTTGTGCTGAAATTTTTCAAGGGAAATCATCACATCTATCAAGGATACAATCACAGCACTGTTTCTGCAACATCACTATTTTATTATTTTAACGATGCAGTACTGGTATAATAGGTAAAACATTTTAAGCCTTTTAGATTTTACTGCTTGAGTCCTTTGTCAATATTAAAATACTATTCTAAACAAACCCATTCTTTTTATCTCAATACCCAAACCTAACAGTGCTTTTAGTCAATTTTCTGTACCTTCATTCATTTTACACAATTGCTATGGTCTATATCACCTGTTCTATAGTGAGTATGTTTGAAAATAGAACACCAAACACTTGCTGTTGAATCAATCCAAACTCTTTATGACCTCATTCATATGACAGAATAGAACCCCCTATAAAGTTCCAAAGGCTGTATATCTTTATAGAGGCATTTTACTGCATCTTTCTGCCACAGAATAGTTGGTGGCTTGGAACTGCCAAACTCTTGATTAGTAATCACTGTACCACTGTATAATCATCCAAACTGTACTTATGTTGATTCAAAATTTCCTTCTAACAGCTGCATCACTTCACATTTCAACCTGTATCTGTGTTAGTACTATGTATGACTTTTACAATCAATATCACTGTCACCATACCAACTATAACCAAATCAAATTACTGCGTCAATTTTGTCCCATGATGCTTTTCTACCTGGCTTCTAGGACTATATATTTTTTTCAAGAGAGGATTACTCACCTTTCTTCCACAGTTTCTGTGGGATTTGAACTCCTAAACTTTTGGTTAACAGCCCAGCACATAATAAACTATGCAACTAGGGTTCTTTAGATTGACTATAACCATTAACTAAAAAAAAAAAAATCAAAATAAAAAAAATCAAGATTTAGTACATGATTCATTCAACTATAGTTATAGTGGCAATTATTTCACCTCTGAAATCCCCGTTGAGATTTAAAATGCTTTGTTTTGGCCCGGAAATTTTATGTAGAATTCACTAATTTTTTTGTGTGTCTTGTTGCAAATTGCAAATATCATACCATTTGAATAAATCTATTTATTTATGCTGGACATCTCTGTTGTTGAAATAAAATGGTTACCAATTTTGGAAGCAGGAGCGGCATCCACTTCCTAATCAACATGCCTCTGGAAACTATGAACTTTGATAAATGTTCATAGTTGTAGAGGGGCTTCAGGCCTTTTGTTCATAGGGTCGCTATGAGTTGTGCTAGATTTGAAGATAATCAGCAACCCCAAAAAATATTAATGTGGTGTTTTGTTATGCTAATATTTAATAATTAATACACAAGTTGCATATTTGTATGTCAAAGGTCTACTAGAGAAGATACAGCTTCTACTATTTTCTATTTCTTCTATATCTGTTTTTCAATGAGAAATGATTTGGATGGAAAATGTCTTGGATGAAATCTATAAACAATATACAAGCTAATTTTTTAAAAGAATGAAGATTTCTCCAATTTGACACAGTAGTTGTTCAATAAAAATATGTTTTTAAAAATTCAGTGAATAGCAAAGATAAACTAGGCAAGTTCCCTGGTGGCCAGAAACTAGCCTCTCCACGTCTGGTCTGTAGTTTCTCTTGGTAGCATAGATGATTCTAGAAGATATCTATCTGTTATTAGGTGCTATTGCATTAACTTATGCTAACCCTACGCACACAGAGTCCAGACTTACTGTTCCAACAGAAACTTGCAGAATTCCTGAGACCTTGGTCCTTAATCACCCTTGAATCCTGGAACAAAGTGCATTCCCCAGGCTCAACTTTTCAGCAAACAATAAGCCTATAAAGTGAGCAGTAGTATCAGGAAGAAACTTCTTAAAATAAACAATCACACTTGAATTGGTTTTTGTATAAGATGTGAGGTGTGGGTCTTGCTTACACGTTTTGGAGCTCGTTTTCCAGTTTTGCCAACACCATTTGTTAAAGAGACTGATTCTATCTCCTTGGATGAGCTGGTTTCAGGGTTCTCAATTCTATTAAATTGATCTATTGCTGGACTAGAACAATGCTGTCTTGATCACCACAGCGGGGTAGTAGGGGTTGAGATCAAGAAGTGCAATGCTGTCTACCTTGTTTTTCTTTTTTAGTAGTGTTTTACTTCTTCAGGGCTTCTTTCCATTCCAAATACAGTTAGAAATTGTGTTTTCTCTCTCATTGAAGAATGGAATTGGTATCTGTATTGGGATTGCATGGAACTTGTAGATTGCCTTTGGTGGAATTGTCATCTTTACAATGATGAGTCTCCTTATCCATGAGCATGGTATATTTTTCCATTTCTCCAAATCTCTTTTTGTTTCTCAGAGTAATGTTTTGTAGTTTTCTGTGTATAGTTATATTTATTCACAAGTATCTTATCTCATAGTTAGCTAAAACAGTGCTGCCACCCAAATAGACGTATGCTCACCCACGTTTATTGCTATGTGATTCACAATAACAAAGCGATTGAAACAACCCAAGTGCTCATCAACAAATGAATGGATAGAAAAACTATGGCACAGTCACACAATGGAATACTACACAACACTGAAAAACAAGGAACTAATAAAATATTATACAACATGGGTGTCCTGGAGGATATTATGCTGAGTGAAATATTTCAGTCACAAAAGGACAAATATTTCATAACACAAGTATTATAAAATAGGGTTGACATGGGGGTTGAGGGGTATCTGAGGAAAAAGGGGATAAATAATGAAGATTGCATTGGAATAGATGAAGGAAAGAACTATCTAAAAGGAATATATGATTAGGAATTATGTCTATGACAAGAGTCCAAAATAAGAGGTGCATAGCAAAGTGGGCTGGGGAAGAGGCAGAGGGAGGAAATTATGCAATAATCAAAGACGTTTTTTAAAGTGAACTGAGAGGGTAGGGAGGAAAATGTGCAACAATGAATGAATGAAAATCCAAGTTTTGTGTAAACTTTCATTAAAGTCACAATAAAAAAGATAAAAATAAGAATAACCAATTACATATCATCAAAAGAACACTACTCGCCCAAGGATAAAGGCCTGAAAGTAGGAAGGGATGGAAGTATTAATGGCAATAAAAATTACAGAGATGAAGAAGGAAGGTGTGATTTCATTGTGGGTATTGTAATTAATATGACAAAATGAAATGTATATGAATGAGTGATGGAAAATTCATGCTTCATAAAATTTCACTCAAATCAATAAAAAATGAAAGTAAACCAAACTGAATGAAATACTGCCTGATTCTGTACCATCCTCACAATCCCTTCTCTCCTTAACCCCACTATTGGGCCCACCACGTCAATCCCTCTCGTATGTCTTCCTGTTCTTGTTGACCTTCTACTTTATTGCATATGATACCATTATCTAAAGTCTAATCCTAACTTTTAACATACACAAAATATACAAGATGATGTATCATCATCCTGTCTTCTAAGAATTCTGAGCAGTCACTCCTCTTCTTCCCAGATAGATTTGCTTAGTCTTTTGTTAGTCCATGCTGTATTCAACAACTTTATTAAGAAGTTGGAGATCTAATCCACTGCTGCTGGAAGAATTAGAAGGATTTCATTAATATGGAAAACAGTTTGGTGCCCTCTTAAAAAGTTTAAAGATGGAAATTCTATTTGAACCAGCAATCCCACTATTATGTATACATTCTAAAGAGATAAGAGTTATGACACCAATAGATATATGCACATCCATGCTTACTGCAACATTATTTCTAATTGCAAAAAGACAGAGACTACCTAAGTGTCCAGCAATGGAAGAATGGTTAAGGAAACTATAATGCAGTGATATTTTGTAACAGCAGATGGTGCTGTTTTTCTTAACACTGACATAATGCTCATTGATCTTAAGTGAAAGTTTTATTTTTTTAAG